GCCGCCCTCCTTGCCCGACTGGCCCTTCATGGCGGCCGGGATGGACAGCGTGGACACGGGCTTCCGCAGCTGCAACACACCAAGCAAACACCGACGTCAGATCTCGAGCGCTACCGCACACACTGTGGACAGGCCGTCCCACTCGAAAGTAGCCACGGTATTACACTTGGTAATATTTTGAAGATTTTGATGCAAACTCTCCAAATATGTTTTGGGCGGGATGTTGATGGGGTATTAAATGAAACTAAAGTATTTCGGTCAGAGAATTTATGGAATATTGCATTTCACGACCCTGTTAAATAATACTCGTAGTTTTTGACGGAATGTGTCAGGGATTAAATAAATTGTTAGTTGGGCACTGTTTTAAAATGAACTACTCAATATTCAGGACTCGCTACAAAACTATACCGATTTGTTTACATAAAATTGATATTACAGATTTTGTATCGAGATCACAGCCTCGTACATCCTCACCCCTCAACATTTTGAATCGGACTGATATGAGAGCTCTCTGCAATCATTTCAAGATGACTACTCAATCAACTGAAAGTGAGGATGTACCATGAGATAGAACTGAAGGGTTAAGTGTGAGGATGTACTTGGAAGAATGCAAAGTAAATACATCTCACAGTAGTACTATATGAGCAAATCTGTTTCATAGTATGCCCTGAAGTTGTAATCATATATGATAGCTAACTAAGAATTTTATTCAATACCTGACCAATATTCCATCTAGCTTTGACACGAAATCCTTTAATTTAATACCTGATCATCCCCATTGAAAAAACAAACCTTTTTATGGAATAATTTTGCATGGTCTGTGACTCCACTAATTTTCAAATAGTATATAACCAGTAACTGTTTTATAACATGTAATTTTCTACTTTTTTAAACCAACTTTTTCTAGGGCTACTTTGGAGTGCGACATTGTATTATTGAGTTGGAAGGAAAGTTCGTTCGGTTTCATTGCACGCAGTAAGCAACGCTTTGCAGCAACTTCCTATGAACTGTTACTGTTTGTTCAGCCATGTCTAATATGACGTTTACTTCGGAAGTTCTCTGTTCTACAAGGAAACTCTCAGAGTAGATCTGTGATCGGCCGAAGAAAACTTGCGACACGCACGACAGACTGATTCTGACGAAAGGTTCGACTATACCAGGCATTTGCCTTGAAATCATTACGTACAGGTGGCATCTAATTGAATATCAAATGTACAAACTTTTCTATGAGAGCTATATGTAATTATATGCAAGACGTGAAAGAGGAAAGAAAATGCACATTCCCAACACTTTTAGTGACATTAGTTTCATGTTTGCCAAAAGGTTTTAGAAACCTATTTCCATGGAATTCTTCTGCTATTTTAAAGCAAAATTTTAGAGAAAAGAATCGGAGATCATTCCGAGGGTTTCCATTAATAAGTTACAATTCAAGTATGTTGAATGTTGAAAAGATCAGCTTGGCCGAAAAATTCAATTTCATTTGAAGCTCTGCCGGTCGTGATACCCAGAATACGTAGAATGAACCGCGCCTATGTCTACGTTCTAGTGAATGTTTAAAACATTCGGTCGCAAAATACTGTATTCTCTCAAACGCGAATTCTGAAGAACATCAGATTCACCCTCAACATACACTTACAATCCATACTCTCAACATACGCGGCAATCTTCCTCTGCGTTAGGCCACACGTTTGCGAGGGTAACAGTGCCGAGGGCTGTGTAGTATGTCGAATAAACTTTCGTTCCAATACAATGGTTTTAAATAAGGTGTCGAACGACGTAACAAAAATACTGAATGTCATCTAGGAATAAGAGTAACGAAAATGCTGCATTCATTTTACTTATACATTAAGCACTACTAAAACGCAAAAAAGACAACACCAGGTGTAACCAAATATATCTTTAAATTCATTTCGGAATAAAAAACTATTTTCACTAGTAAATACATCTATTTTAGTTTTGTTTAACAGTTCTACTTTCATCTCGTTTTAAAATTATTATTCCATGAACAGTTTTTATGTAGAAATGTTAAATAAAACTACGCACTACAGCGGTTTCTAGATTTTTTGTGACCTGTATCAAGCTCTAGCTGGCTTAATAGCTTGTGTAAAAAAGGTATAGCATGGAATGCGTACCAGGTTCAGTAAAGCATGGTTGTGAGGCACTCTGCACGGCCGGGGATAAAAGGATAAAAATTCTATTCCTTCCTCAGATTGTAAGTATCGGATTGTAAGACACTGGGGACTGCTAATTAGACAATGAAACGCTACTCTGTCATTTAATCTTTGAGAGCAACCGTTCATCAATATATCACTCGTTTTCTGCGAGTAGTGATCGAGAAAGGAACTTCAGCTCATCTCTGTCGGAGTAGATTCGAGTTTTTACAACTTTTACTTCAGTTTCACACAGTGGACTTTTAATAGTTAGTTTTTAAACTGCTCTACATTTGATATAAGTATCCTCAGTTATTCAGACAAGGCAGGACCAAAGTTCAGATATATAACCGATTCAACCAACTCCCAATTAGAACCATTCATTGCGGGTCACCACCCTCCTTCGAAATAGAATCATTTGCATCGATATACCCATTGCATATTCATTTACTAGAACATTTCGCAAAATACGAGTAATTAAAAGCATCGTATATCTTTCTTCTACAAATACTAATACAGTTATATTTACAAAACTATTCATTAAGTGGCCAAAAACAAACAGACATATGCACTCTTATCGAGGTTTCATCGAAGAAACCGATGCGATTGCATTCATCTCTACAAAATAAAAAAAATATGTAGCTTATTAGTAGGTGCCTAAAGCATCTAATTTGAGGATAATTACGTGCTAAACAGATATTATTACGAAATATGCTTGATACAATTGTGCCTCTGACGAACATTTAATGTGATTGAATAATACAAAATATATGTCAGTGTAAGCATTATTAGCAAGTAGTGCGAACAGATACAGCAGTGACGTGAGTGAATTATTGCTAAAAGTATCTACTAACGAGCATATGCACATGCATTGTTGTTTTCAGCAACATTATGTAAAGTTAAAAAGGGACCGCTTTGACAGAGATCGGGAAACAAATGAACATCATGAAGGGAGATGACTTTACTATAAGTTATGAAGCTATTTTAGATAGAAGTTAAGATAGTTATGAAGCCATTTACAAATGACCAAACTGTAAACGAACGCACTGACAAAACTAGTGCATGGACGTAACTTGTTATATTATATTGCCAGCAGTGGCCAAGCAGTAGTTGTAAAGCGGTCGCTTCTCTCTGTAACTGATGTTGGTAACGTATGGTGGTAGTTGATATTCCATATGATTCATAAGAATGCATAACGTTTCAAATTGTGAAAAACAAGTCAAGTAGCTATGTATTCAAAAAAAAACTTTTCACTTTCCATTTACGCTTCCAGATTTGAATATCATGTGACACGTCACTCAACTTATAAAATGAAATTTAATTCTATAAATACACTGTTCTGGAATCTCTGGTGATTGACAATTTGAAGTTTGTCCGAGATACCTGTCCCAGCTGTCACATTTATCACCCGCTCGCAGATGGAATGTATTAACAGATCAGATTCACAGAAACTGTAAAGGAAGTTTCCAAACTGTGCGTCGTATGCACATGTAAAATGAAAAAAAAAACTCCGCGAAAAATATTATTTTGTACCAGTTGAGCATGGGCAAAGGTAAGTGATGTATTGCAGTAGTTAATGTATTCGTATCCACAATGACATCAAAAATAGAATTTCACATATAATTACCATTTAAAAATAAAAAAATAATAAGTAATGACAAGGGGAGGGAGATGAGTGAACATATCTCGATATGTAAAATTTTCAGCCTTTATTTCTCGAAGCAATAATGACAATTTCGAATAGTATGTGCGAGCTGTGTTCACTAATTTTCATGTACCTCTGACTCCTGTCATTCGTTAGTTTGTGAACTAGTCCCTAAAATGACAAAAATTTAATGTCTCAAAACTAATTTACTTCAGTTCTGTATTTATTCTCGATTTTATATTTTATTTTGGACCGTGTAAGGAATTATTTTACGAATTAGTGCAGTTTACATACAATTTTTATGATCAAATTTCACTTTTCATACACATAATGATAAGTTTAAAAATAATTCTGATATTTATTAAAAGTACAAAAAATAGTAAGAAAATGAAAGAAAACGAGTACTTCTGTTAATCTTCAACGAAGGTACGTGCTCGCGCACAGATATACTCAAGCGAAAGGATTATTTACAATTATTACACGTGGGAATGAATATCTGTTGTATTATTTGTCGATGGTAATGTGACGTATAATTTAATTGCCATGAGAACTTTTTCATACAAAAAATGAAAGCTAACTATATTAGCATAAATACAGTAATCATCCGATAAATTCGCTCATAACCAACACCTAATTTGAATTCATAATTTATTCACATGAATTTACACTAAGGTTCATTTGATCGTCGATATTAATTATACATAAAGATTTATAAACACACCTGACGCCATCAATCACTCACTGATGACAACAAATCGGAACATTTAAATAAAATCCATATTAATTAATTAAAAATATTCCAGATACCAAAAGTCTTATAAAGGCGTCTAGATATTTTTAACGCAATAGCTTTCAAGATTCCCCTATTTCCTAGTGTTAGCGTGTGAGCATGCTTATATCTTTATGTTCTTGGTTTGTTCTTTCTACTGTACGAAGGAAGGTGCGGTAATGAAAAAGAGTGACCGACTATAAATTTTAGGCAATGCCATTGATGATACAAAGCAATCAGAACAGAACAGTCATTTTCCATGAACCCTTTGGATGAGGGTTGGGGATTAGGCGTGGGTTGGTTGACTGGGGTGGGATGGCTGCTAGCGAGCATCACGCGAGTCCTCTGAAAATCGACGCCCCCTTGACTCGACCA